TTTCAGCTACACCATTCTGTTGAGGTGTCCTTGCTGCGGATGTCTGATGAAGAATTCCGTTTTCTTCACAGTAGTGAATGATGATTTCATTCAGGAATTCTGTGCCTTTGTCAGATCTGATCTTCTGAATGGTCTGACTTGCTTGGTTTTGAATCAGCTTCATGCAGTTGGTGAGTTTCCCTTGAGTCTCCTTCTTGCTATTGAGGAAGATTGTCCATGTGTATCTTGAGTAATCATCAACTACCACCAGGACATATTTCTTTCCACTTAGACTTATTGGTGTGACAGGGCCAAATAAGTCCATGTGAATAAGACTTAATATCCTTGTAGTTGAAGGTGCCGATTTTGCCTTGAAGGTGGACTTGACTTGCTTTCCTTTTTGGCAAGCATCACAAATGCTTTCCTTTCTGAATGCAGCTTTGGGAAGACCTTCTACTAGCCCTTCTTTGGACAGCTTGTTGAGGGTTTTGAAGTTGAGATGACTCAACCTCTTGTGCCAAAGCCATAGAAGGTTAGTGTCACCTTTGCTGATTAGACATGCTTCTTTGACATTGTCCCACATTACTTCATAGATGTTCCTGATTCTCTTCCTAGTGAGAATGACTTCATTTGTGGAGATGTTCTTGAGAGATGCCATGTCCTTGCAGAATTCCAAGGAGTAACCTTTATCGCAAAACTGACTTATGCTAAGAAGGTTATAGTTGAGACCTTCTACATAAGATACAGCTTGGATGGTTAGTCCCTTGTACACCAGATTTCCTAGCCCTTTAGTAAGGCCGAAATCATTGCTTCCTCCAAAAGTAACTCTTGGACCATCATAGGGAATTAGATTGCTCAAAAGGCTTGCATCACCCGTCATGTGTCTTGAACAGCCACTGTCTAAGTACCAGACACCTGGGTACTTAGCGGCTTCCTGCATTAGGAGGAGGAAGATTTTGGTACCCAATTAAGTTTGGGTCCAGAGTAGTTAATGGTGTGTGTCCCTACATCAAGTTTGAAGTTGCAGGGAATTTTCCTTGCAGCTCTAAACTTGTTGGGATTGTAATCATAGTTATAGGCATAAAACATCCTACGTGCAGGAGGTGCTATTTCCTGTTTCCTCCTAGCAAATCTAGGTTGATAAGACCTATAGTTTTGTCTAGGTTGTGCATAGTGTGTCCTGTGTCGGTTATAAGCATACTTAGGTGGCACAAATAGCTTCTGGGGTGGAGGATGACTATATCTTGGCATAGTTCTCCACTCAGAATTTCTTGGAAAACTCCTATCTACCCCATAATGAGTATAGCCTCGTGTATAGTGGGGGTTAGAGGGTTTTCTTCTGAAATTGTTTCCTTTTTGAGGTTTGTCCAGCTTCCTATTGTTCTTAGGAGGGACTACCTTTTTGGGAACTTCTGTTGGTTTCTCCTTTTCCTTTCCTTTCTGATTATTTGGTTTGTCAGTAGGTTTAGGAGGGATGAAAGTTGTTCTCCCTTTCCTTTTGGAACTGGAGGGGTCAAACCCAAGTCCTTCACGACCCTTATGTTTGGTCGTTTCAAGAAGCTTGTCCACTGCTTCTTTGGACTTAAGTATCCTTAGCTCTTTATTAAGGGATTTCACCTTTTCAGAGAGAGATTCATTTTCAGCTTTAAGTTGAGTGATCTCATTTAGTTGACTTTTCCGACCTTCAGTCAACTTGAGATTCTCTTCACTTAACAACTTGTTCAGTCAACTTGAGATTTCTTTTCTGTTAAGGATGAATGTTTGAGATTTATTTCCTTAAAATCTTCCATCATCTTTTTGAACTGGTCAAAAAGATTTTCAAAAGTTGGTATGCTTTCATAAGAAGATGAGCAGGAGGTTTGTGAGGTTACCTCTTGATTGGCATCATCTTTGGCCATTAGGCAGAGAGTGTCATCTTCTGACATAGTCCACCTATCCTCATAGTTGGACTTTTCAACTCTGCGCTCCATGCAAACGAGGGCTTCTTCAACCGAGCTTGAGCTGGATGACTCATCACTTTCAGCAGCAACCATTGCCTTCTTTTTCTTCTCGTTTCTTTCTCTTTCTCCGTACTTCTCCACCTTTGGGTATGGGCATGCTGACTTCCAGTGGCCAGGCTTCCTGCAGTTATAGCATAAATAAGATTCAGGAGGGGAGTCACTTACTTGTGGTTTTCCCTTGGTTGGCCTTCTGATTGAATCAGCCTTCTTGAAGAACTTCTTGAACTTCCGGAATTGCTTGACCATCATGGCAAATTCCTCATCGTAGTTCTCCATTTTTGAGCTTGACGGCTGGCTGGAGGAGGGTGTGTCACAGTTCCTTGGGCATGTCCCTTCACTTGATGGGACTCTTGGAGTTGTCATCAGTGCCGTGGGGAAGGGAGTGACTTGTTCTTCCTTCTTCTTCTTCAGCTCGTGCTCATAGGTTCTGAGCTCATCAAGGAGACCTTGGACAGTGTAGTTTTCCAGGTTTCTTCCTTCTTCCATGGCAGTGGCTTTGGTATACCACTCGGTTGGAAGTGATCTCAGTAACCTTACATTCTTTTCTTTGGGAGAAAGAACGTGGTTAAGTGAGGCAAGATCATTTAAGATTTTGTGGAACCTTTCATCCAACATATCAAATGATTCTCCGGGAAGCATTTTGAAGCCTTTGAACTTCTCAAGCAGGACTTCTATCTTCTGCTTTCTCAAGTCCTCTGATCCCTCACATAGCTTCCCAAGACCTTGCCATATCTCCATGGCAGTCTTGAGATGCTTGATTTTGGAGAAGGTGATGGGATCAAGTGTCTTGAAGATGGCT